ATTTTTTTATTATTTCCTCTATAAAAGCTTAAGCCTCTTCATAAAGTTTAGATATCAAAGTTCCTCTAGCTGCTATCTCAATTGTGCATCTGAGGGATCTACGAGTCTATTAGATAAAGTCTAAATGATAAACTAATCAGGCAAATCATGGTGAGGGTACTTCCTAAGCATCTCATTAAATTGTTTCCATCTTTCATAAATTGACTCTCCATCCAATTGGAAAAATGAGGTAATATCCTTCCTAAGCTTGACTATTTTTGAAAGTGAGAAGTATTTTTCTAAAAATTACTGGTATAACTCATTCTAGGTGGTTATAGAGTCTTCGATAAGAAATTCATCCTCATCTTTTATTTGTCCCTTAGAGTAAAAGGAAACAAAAAATGTCCAATGCCACCATCAGAGCCTACATTATACATGAAAGTTATGTGGATCTCCAAGAAATTAATTTCATATAAGTTGAGATTCATGATAAGAGTTCCCACAAACTATAAATTCCAGACCATTTGGATTATATTATGTTTTAGTTCAAAATTAATAGCTTGAATGATTGGTCTATTGCTACTTTGGTGAATTCCCTCTAATAATGGATTGACATACTCTCTAATATGACACAGTTGGTACTCATACAAATTTGATTTAGCCATAACTTATAGTCTTTTTAAATTTTTGTAAGGTTCCTTTCTATTTTTAAGATGTCTCTTACTAACTCTACTACACATGCACAATCACAACACATAATAGGTATGATGCAATGCAGTCAAAAGTAAATTCATAAAAAATTTAAAACACTAATAGAAATGAAAAAAATAAAAGGTAATAATGCCAGCCAAAAAAAATAAATATAGAAATAAAGGTAGGATTAAAATTTTCTAACATTTTTTTATAACATAGAAAATAAAAAACGATACAAAATATTTTTCTAGCAATGACACTAAAAACTTGATGGTAGTAGCATATGTGTTACTCTTTAACTGCACATGTCGATCAAGTAATAAATTAAATGAGAAGAGTATGGATTCCAAGGAAAAAATATGTATCCAATTAGTACCTCTAGCATTGTCTACTTAAGCATCAAAGTTATCATTCTGAATGAAAAAGAAGGTTGTGCTCTATGATCTACTTCCGAATAATGAAGATATAAATTAAGATTTGTTGTGAACCAAAGCATATATACCTTTAGATATATGTTGACCTTATAAGGGTGTAAAGTAAGGCTTTCACCTCACTACAATGATTTTATCTATGTAGACCTAGCAACCTATTTATCTCAAATCTAGGTGTGAAAGTTTTCTATTCCAATCATCCTCTTTATTCCATCATATCTCTGTTAAGGCAATGAATCAAACTAGGTTTTAACTTCAAACATGGCCATTGCATGAATTAAATTAAGTGTTGGAGAGATTGAAAATAAAAATAAAATAGTCCATGAAATATAATCCACTAAAGGAAAAACATCTTTTATTCAAATCGTAAGCCCAAAATAGGATAATTAACTAGACTTAGAAATGATTTTCCTCAAAACATATTCCATTACAATTTCATTAAAAGTTACAAGAGTTTAGGTGGAGAAAATACCACCTGATGGTGCTTTGCAATCAATTAAATAATGAATACTTCTTGGATTGAATTATCTTAAGCACATTAACACTCCACTACAAACACCCACTCCTTTACTATTAGAGAAATGATGACCAATAATTGACTAGCCCACAACAAAATAAAAAAGAAAACTATTTATACTTAGTATACATAAATTGAGTTTGGCATCATGGTGCTCAAAATGGTTATGACATGACATTACAATAATGAATTAGTACATTAACACTATGTTTAGTTTTTTCCATGGTGCTAGGCTAAATAGATGTGATGCTTCAATAGTGAACTAATCTAACTTCCAAGTTGTGGTGCTAAAGGTGATTTGGAACGACGATGATACCTCAGTGCCATAATGTTGACAAATTTCAATCGCTGTGGAGCTAGGTAAGGTGATTTGGATTTAGCCGCTCTAGGAACCAGCACTTAGTTGTTGGTCTCCTTATAAAATGTTAGAACTTAAGGAGCAGCGAAGTTCCAAATGTGGCACTACGGTGCTTCTAATGCTACAATGCTTGATGATATGACACTTTAACACTGAATGAAAGGGAAAAAGGATAGAACACTGAGTGAAGCAGTGTTCTATTATGGTGTAGTGGTGTTGAAGGTGTTGTGACGTGGTTGTTTGAGTCGCCGTGGCACCAGTATAAACTATATAATTTCTTTGATTTTTCATATAATTTTCCTTCATAACATGAATTAAAATAAACATTTTCACTAGAATTTTATACAATAAATAATAACATAATTTTTACATAATAGTGTTACATAAGAAGCCCTATAACTTTGTAGAACAAAGAGGTGTTGTTGTAATCTTGGAGCCCAAGCTTGAAATTTCATTATTTCAAATGTTATTAGATGATTATCTATTTATTCCTTCATATTACAATGGATATTTGTTTTGTGCACTACTAACTTCATATGTAATAATACAAATAAAGAAATACCCATGATTTAGGCTCAAGACTATATATTGTTAGCGTGTGAGTTAAATTATGTATTGAACAGTGTATACTTTTACTATTTCTTGAGACACTATAGGTTAATTGTGCACACAGATATAGGAGGAGTAAAAATAAGATATTTTAAATTTTTTATAAAATTATACAATACGATCATTTGAAATTGAAATTAATTAAATTTTTTACAGTAAGTAAAAAATTAAATTTAAGTTATAACTATTCATATAGTATGAACTCCACATCATATTGAACAATCAGCTATAACCAGAAATCCCACTAGCAAATCTAACTTACTTAAATAGGATAATTTCAAATTTCAAATTTCAAATTCGAACTATTCTTACTATACAAAGTCTTTCATACTATATAATATTTTAAATTATTTCCTATTTGGGTCATTAATTAAGAAATCAACTTGGATCTAAATTAATTATAGATTATATTGTATAATTATAGATTATACTATATGAGTTACATAAGAAGTCTGCATGAAATTTGGTTTGTCTAGTTCCATTATAGATTGTACTATACGAATAACCTGATAAAAATATGGATGAATTTTGGTTCATCCTGTATGATCCGATTACTGATTTGAACTAATTGTATTATATAATTTATAATCACACTAGAAATCTTTGATGCTATTATACTAATCATATTGTATGATGTACCTATCATACTATTTGAATAATATCATCATAATTAAAAAAATTGAAGTTTTGCATGCCCAATATAAAACTTTTTTATTTGACTTTATAAGTGTCTTTTGGTAGTTTGTGGGTGTGTGACCTCTATAAGCAAGGGTTTAAAGAGAGAGACATTTGAGTAGGGGGGAGAGCAGTGAAGTTTTGAGAGAGGGAGGAGAGGATTCTATGTGTAAGAGAGTATGATGGATGCTTTAGTCAACATCCACTTTATTCCTCCATGTGTCAAAGTTTTTTTTAAGGACAACTTTTTGATGGTCCCAGCTACTTTGCCACACTAGGGAAGGTGAAAGGGATTCAAGCTACACTACCTCACCAAGAGTGTGAAAGGGATTTAGGCTACTCTAACTCACAAGGAGGGTGAAAGTAATTCAAGCTACTCTGCTTCACCAAGAAGGTGAAAGGGATTCATAGTTCTCTACCTCACTAGGAGGGTTAAAAGGATTTTGTTCTTAGTCGTACCAAGAGTGAAAGTGATTTTGTAAGAGCTTCTCTACCATCGAAGGGGCCTAAATGATAGTCCCAAAAGTGTTTAGTAAATTACCCGAGAGGAGGACTCTAAGGAGTGGACGTAGGTCAAGTTGATCAAACCATTATAAATTATGATGTATTGACTCCTTTACTTTTTGCACTTTACTTTTAATGCTTTTCTTTTTGCATATATATATATATATATATATCTTCTGTAATTTGGTTTTTATTAGTGATTATTATGATACAAGATATTGGGTTGATTGTCTTTATTTCTTGGTTGAAAAAGAAAAAAATAAGGAAAATAAAAATTAACAAAATAAGTGTTATTATTTTTTTCTTATAAAACAAAAGATAAAAAAAAGTTTTTATTTCTTTATTCACTTTCACATTGAAAAATATAATTTTAATTTTAAGTTTGGGAAATTAGTTTTAATTTCAAAAATATTTTTGAAAAAGATTTGTAAAACACCAATTCACTCCCCTCTTGATGTTCCATTTAGTAGTTTATGTAGTTTCACAACCATCCTTTAAACTTTCAATTCGTATAAAAGCAGGATCTCTTAATTTATGAATTAAAAACACTAAGATAGGTCATATGACATACTTTAGAAGCATGAATTCTATTGAGGGTTATTCAATAACCTCCATCACTTTTTGATAATATTCCTTTTGACTTTTACAAAATTTGTTTGCTAACACCTCTTTACAATCAATTGATTTTAGAATGTGGCACACAATATAAGCTTGTTACTTTATTCCTTCTCATATTTTTAATGTTATTGAAATAGATATTCCATTTACTGAATGGATCATGGAAGATAGAGATTTAGCAAAACTGAATGCAAAGTATTTAAATTATTTTATTGTGCACTTAAATCTAAATACTATATGAGAGTTTCTACTTAGCCCATTGGTAAATTAATTTGGGATAGACTTTGCATCACATATGAAAGTACAAATGAAGTCAAATAATATTGCTTAAATCTATTATTATAAGAATATAAAATTCTTCTCATGAAACTTAGTGAAATTATATATGACATGAACACTAGGTTTACCAAAATAGTAACTTTATTTATTACTTCAGGAAGAAAACTCTCCAATTCCGAGAAAGTTAATAAGATTTTATGTTGCTGAATTGACTCATTTAATACAAAAGTCACATCTATTTTTGAATCTAAAGATTTAAACATATATTATATTGATAATTTATTTAACTCTCTCATTTCTTACGAGTAAAATGTGAGCTAAAGAATTTTTGATGCAGGTGACAAGAAAGAAGAGAAAGCCATGACACTGAAGGATGTTGACACAGATAGTAATAGCTCTTGTGCTAATGAGAATGATGATATAGCTTTAATGAATCAACAATTTCAAATCTTCCTAAAGCAAAAAAGAGGCACCATTAAGAAAGGAAGAAGGGTAAATAAGGTAAATTCAATAAAGTTTCCACTAACATTATTTGCTATGAGTGTAGGAAGCCAAGATATTTATGGTCTAATTCCATAATATTAAGAACCACCCTTTGAAGGAAACAGGTGATTATAAGCCAAATGCAAAAAAGAGAAAGTCAAAAATGTAAAAAGCTTTCTAGGCAGACTCAGCCTCAAACTCTTCATAATAGGAATCAGAGGGGGTAACAAATATATGCCTAATGGCTAATGAAAATTTTCATTAAGAAGAGGTATGAGAGCTATCCTATAATGATATATTTTCAATTTTCAAGAAAACTCAAGATTAATATAGGAAAATGTAGAAATAATACACATATTTAAAAAAGGGAAATTTTTTTATTTGAAAAAGGAGTAGGACATGCTAATTAAAGAGTCTTATAACCATAAAATTGAACATGCTTCACAAGATAAGGAGCATGCATCATTTTTTAGATGAGTTTGAAGATTTAAACAAAAAATATATTAAAATGATAAATTCATATGATTCCTTGAAAGATGAGCATACTGAGTTAGAAGAAGCATTTAAGGAATTATAAAAACTTGCATTAGATTTAGATAGTAAAAAGAAATAAGCGTTAGTTGAATTAGGTATTAAAAAGAGTGCAAATAAATACTTAATAAAGAAAATAAATGTACTAAAAATAGTACATATAATCCTAAACCTTTATTAAGTTCATAACCTAGGACACATCATGCATCATAAATTCATAGGAAGAGGCATTACCCCTACATAGATTAGTGAAACTCATTTCCTTAGGTTAGATGTTACTCTTATGGCATGCTATGAAACATAACATGCACTTACACTTTACACTTTAGAACACACCTATTTTTGAGGCCCATTGTATTATCATCATATCATACCATGCATAACATTCATACATGGAAGCATAATGTTGGAACCAAACTCACTTGTATTCCCAAATCTAACCTTTGAATGAATTTGTAGAAATTTTCTTATAAGTGGTCAAGTGAGAGCATGTGATACTTGGGAAATGGCTGCTTGAGGCACATTACAAGAGGTATGAACTAGTTCATCATGTTGGAGGCCAGGAGCAGAGTTAAGTTGGTATTGTGTTATATAACAATAGGGAAGTGGTAGGTTTAGGTGAATTCTATAAAAATAATGGCTTTGTTATTGAAAATGTACTTTTAGTAGAAGGGTTAAAGCACAATCTACTTAGCATTAGTCAACTATGACACAAAGGTTTTGATGTGAATTTTTTTTTTCAAATAAATATTTAATTATTTTAAATGGAAAAAATATTTTAGAAGATAAAAGAATTAATAATATTTATATGCTTTATTTAGGTTGCATTAATTTTTAATAATCATTGTTGCTTGAAAATTATTTTGGATGAATTATAGCTATGGCATAGGTGGCCATGCCATGACATTTTGAAAATCCTTAGGAAGATTACATAGAAGGATATAGTCAGAGGTATTTCTAAGCTAAATTTTTCTAAGGATCATATGCGTGGTGCCAGTCAGTTAGGAAACAAAACTAGGTCTTCATTTCATTTTATTAAGGATATTATTACCACTAGAGATTCTACACATGAATCTATTTGGACCTATTAGTATAGCCAATTTAGTTGGTAAGAGCTATGGATTTGTGATTTTAGATGAATACTCTAGATTGAATTGGGTTATATTCTTAGCACATAAGATTGAGTCATTTGATGAGTTCAAAATCTTCTACACTTGAATTTAAAAGAGTTTATGATGTTTAATCTCTCTAATTTGTAGTGACCATGGTGGAGAGTTTGAGAATGAAAGATTTGAATTATTTTGTAAATAATTTGAGATTAATCATAATTTTTTTCCCATAGGACCCCATAACCTAATGGCATATTAAAAAGGAAGAGTGATATTATTAAAGGCTACTAGGGAAATTTTAGCAGAAATACACCACCATTATACTTTTGGGCAAAGGTAGCAAATACTTTCCGCTACGTGCTAAATCGGATGAACATTAGGACTAATTTGAATAAGACACCCTACGAACTACTTATGGGTAGGACACCAAACTTATCCCATCTATATGCTTTTTTGTTACAAAGGCTTATGCTTTTGAATGGAAAATCACATTTATGAAAGTTTGATTCTGAGGTAGATGAAAGAGTTTTCTTAGGTTATTCCTCAATAGGTAAAGCCTATAACATCTTCAATAAAAAAACTTAGTTATAAAGAAATCCACCCATGTGGTATTTGATAAGTTAGATAGATTAATTAAGCCTATGATAGATAATGATAATGAAATTGATATTACCCATGGTGTTGAAAGTATTAACCCAATAAATAAACAATTTTAGCTTAAAGTAGATTCCCGTATTGAGTAGTCCAGTCAAAGTTGGGAGCAACTCCAACGCAACATGAGGTAGATCATAGATGGTTCAATGATCTGTTTGCCACCATCCATCGCTGCTTCAAGCTATAATCATTAATGACTGATCTGGGATCTTTGTATGATTATAGTGGTGTTGTTGTTTATAGTTTGTTCTTTGTCTTGTATTTATATTTTCTACCTTTTGTAGTGTTGCCCTGTATTTGGTGATGTATAAAGAGGGAGTTGAATGTTATTGGATGTATTATTTTTCCCTTAATGTAATATAATATTGTTTCAAGTCCTATTGTATATATTAGTTTTTAATTTAGGTTAATAAAATTCAAAAAATAATAAAATTTGAAAAATAAAATAATAAAAAACCAATTTCTTCCTATTTTAAAAGAGATTATAAAGTAAGGGGGTGATCATTAGAAGAAATTAAAATAAACGTATAATTTCAACCAGCAATGTTTGTCATTATCAAAATGTGGGAGCCCGAGCTCATATTTTAGTGAATGCGAACATTATTGGATGACTATCTTATTCATGTATACTAATTTAGATAATTGTTTGTGTACTACTAACTTTTGAGTAACATTATAAAAGAAAAAAGACTAAAGATTCAAGCTCCAGACTAAGCATTTTTAGTGTGCGAGTTAAACTATATATTGAAGAGTCTATAGTTCTACTATTTCTTGAGTCAATAAATATAGAAAGGTGTACATTAGTTTATCAACCGTGCTTATACACATAGGAAGAATAAAAGTAAGATGTTTTAATTTTTCTATAAAATCATATTATATACTCTTAAGCATTCTACACGATTAGTTGAAACAAAAATGAATAAAAAATGTTGAACTTAAATGAAAAAAGAAATTTAAAATATAATTAATTATATAGTATGAATACCACATCGTACTAGATGTTTATCTATAACTACAAACTGTGCCATTAAATCTAACTAACCTAAAATAGGCAAATTTAAACTTTAAATATTAAACTATTCACATTATATGATGTCTTGTGTATTGTAAAATTTTAAATAATTGCCTAATAAGGCTAATTATTTAAGCAATTGAATATGATCTGAATGGATTATAGATCATGTTTCATGCAGATCATATTTTATAATCTTAGATTATAATATACGAGTTGCCCAAGGAGTCTTTGGATGAATTTCAATTTATCCAATATCATCATAGATCATATTATTATTTGCTAACTTTGTTGAAGAGTAATAAGCAATTAAAATTATATTTTCTTTACAAAAAAATTCTAACATAATGCATTTGAATTTCTTTTAGTTTTTTGGCCGAACTCATCATTATGAATGATATATCACCTTAGATGGTGAAAATAACATTCACTAATAAGTTCAAATTACAAACCTATAAGTTTTTTTTCTCGGCTATTATAATCAAATTTAGGAGTGGATTACAAATGATTCTGGAGAATCAAAATGGAATTAAATTAGATATTTTACTATGGTAGTTAAAGTGCTTTATTGTCAATTATTATAGTTAGATCGTCGTAGTGAACTATGTATAACCCTGAAGGGTCAAAAATGATGTTCAAATACATATCTAACTATACTAATATATATGTACATGAAAGTTTGATATATGATGTTATGCCTAATTGAACTGTCCCTAGGCACACCGAGAGGAGGAGTGAATTGGTTGTTTTAAAAACTAACTACTAAGTTTAAAAAATAAAAACTTATATTTTTGGATTTTTCAATAATTAGAAAGCAAGCAATACTTTCTCCTAATATGAAAGCTAACATACTAATCAATGGTTACAATGATGGTGATGATATTCTAATCAACACAATGATAAATCAATCACACATTTTCAATAAGAAATTATCACATAATTAAAATGCAAAGAAAGTAAAGTGCAAAAAATGAAAATCAGAATCAACATACCAGAATTTTTTAGTGGTCGATCAAACAATAATCTACATCCACACCACACAGTTCTCCACTACGAGTATTACACTAAACCGTTAGTGTCACTTCTTTAGCACCCACAGTTAGGCAGAGAAGCCCTAACAATCTTTTTACTAACCCGATGAGGCAGAGAACCTTGACCTCCTTTTTCACCCTACTAATGAAGGCAGAGAACCTCAATATCCTTTTAAACCCTTTTGGTGAAGCTAAAGAACTTGCATTCCTGTTACACCCTCTTTTTGAAGGCAAATATCCTCACACTCCTTTTTTACCCTCTTGATGATGGCAGAGAACCTCAAATTAATTTCACCATTCCTGGTGTGGCGGAGTAGTCGGGTCCTTCAAAACCATAGATGTCTTTTTCCCAAAGCTTCCCACAAGATAAACCTTGGCACTTGGAGGAGCCGAAGTGCAAGTTCATCTGAGCAACCATGTGGAACTCCATTTCACACACCCTTAAAACCCACAAGGATCTTCTCCCTCTCTCATGAACTCCAACCTTTCTCTCCCAAGCTCTAGGCTCTCTCTTTAAGTTTTCCTTAGAAGAAAGCAACTAATGAATGCTAAAAAGACTCTTGCATAGTCTTTTGAAAAAGCATAAATATAGGGCTACAAATAATCCTAAAAATTTATTTTAATCAACACTAGTCATTCAATACGATCTAAGATCATACATTATGATTAGTTCACATAGCCAAGTTAGTACTATACGAAGAGTAAGGCACTATATGATTAGTTCGGGTAATGGAGCTTATCATCCAATATG